CAGGGTAACGCTTTATTTAAGCGAAATAAGTTTATGTTGTACCTGGCATATAGCCACTAAGATTAAGTGCCTCATCCCACTCTTCATCAGATGCCTGTGGTTGAATGTTTCCGATATGATTGTTAACTTGTTCTTGAATTAGCTGCTCATTTTCAATTTGTTTTTCTCTTGAAGCTTTCAATATTTCTTGAGATATTTTTCCTTTGTAGTTCACTAATATGTCTAAAGCTTCAGACGCAGTCAACTCTTTTCTTACTAATTTTACCCATACTGCAAACATATTTTATAGTTAACTGTTTCTAATAATAGTTAAATATTAATAATCGTTACCATCCATTATTCCTCGTTCCTTATACTTCGAAATGTACCTTGGATTTTTACTAATACGTTTGTTTCTTCGAATGAGTTTGAGATCAATTATCGTGCGGTCACAGAATTGAATCAATCGACCTAAAAAAAAAAAATAAAATAATGATTAACGTAAAGGAAATTTATCGTAGACATATTGAGTATGACTGTGAAGTATCAAAAAAATGTTTTAGCAATGATTGAAGTATTAAACATATAAATGCGTATGTTTTGAGTTATAAGCTGAGATCAAACCGTTAAATTTACTCATCACACAAGTTTGTAGTAAAAATAAAATTATAGTTGTAAAAGAAGCTTATCTCTTTTTCTAGCACTACGTAAGGTCATAAGGTATTTTGCATGTCTATGTTTTCAGCTTGAGTCATTTTTTTATCCTATGGCATTAAAAATTCGAATATTTTGTACTCTTATAACACAAATTACCGTGTTTTTAAAATTTTAATAACAGTTTTTTAGGGACATTCCTATAAGTCAACCCTTTTGTCGTAAAAAAAGTCTATGTTGATAACTGCTTACCATGAACCCATCAAGAATTATATTACAGTATGGATGAAATAAAAACATTATTTTTGAATATGCATTGTTTTTAAACTTAAATTTTTAATATTTTTTTAAGTTGGAGGGGAATGCAGCATAGACCCTCAAAATTATTAAAATATTTACTATGAAAAAAAATACTGTGAGCTTCCAAGTCAAATTATATACATGTCAAACCAGTTCATTAACTGCTTACGAAATATTTAAAATACTGTGAGCTTCTAAGTCAAATTATATACATGTCAAACCAGTTCATTAACTGCTTACAAAATATTTAATTGTAGTAATTTGTGTACAGATAGATTTATCAACACGTGCTCTCTGCACACATGAAATTACAAGCGAGCAATCAAAATGTGGTTGTGCACCTCAGATAGGTTATCATATCTACCATTCATGGATTGAAAATACATGTGTACAGATACAATTATAAGCAATAAAACAGCACGAAATTTAAAATGAATCACACTGAAGTAAGTTCAATGTATGGCTCAATGACAGTTGTGCAGTTAAAAGAATTGAGGAAAAGAAATGCTAGTCTTAAAGGCAGAAAAAAAACTCATTGATGGATGTACATACTAATTAAAATATAGTTAATTGAACAATTGTCACACAAATAATTTTTTAAGACAGGAATACGTTATGTACCAATAACATTTACTGTTTACTTTACATATTTTTTAAAAGTTTTTACTAAAAGTTTTAATGTTTCTACTATAACTTTAAAATTTACGATTCAATGAAGAAAAAACTATCAGGATGGTAGAATATAATCTTACAGACGGGTATTGCGACGTTTTAACCTATGTCTCTCGGACCCGGCACCATGAAATAATGCCACTACTGTAAGATAATATTTTTTATTGCAATTTAAATCTTTTATAATAAATAGTGAGTGACACCAAAGTAGTTCTCCTGTAATATACTAAATCATGACTGATGATAAAAAATTATTTATTGGCCAACTGCATTATAAGTCAATGTCAAACATACATGGGATAATATAGTAAGTTTTTTTATATAGCATAGCCATTAAAAAACAGAAACATAAGAAATGCAAAAAAGGCTAGTTTAAAAAAAAAAAATTAAATTTATTACTTTTTGTTATATGCGTTTACTTTGTGACAAATCAATCCTACACTGGCCCTTACATCTAGTAGTAAAATTTTTTTTGTATTAAAATCATCTTTACACCATGATTTATTACACTTGCAAACAAAGACCGTGACTCATGTAAAATGCATACTGTGTCGGAGTGTTATTTTTATTTTTTTACATTAATTTTGTACACCACAACTCTCAACATACAATGTTACTTGATAGATGCGTAAGAAAAAGTAGTTATAAATTTATTACGCGTAGTAATCATGTTGTCAGATGATAAATTGAGTAATCATACAAGAGAAATACTTTGTTTTGGTACTCATATAGAACCACGGTTTTTAACAGGCAACATAAAATGTCAAGTACTAATGAAGCTACTTAAATACTATCACACGTCAACCCAATCAAACTAACGATGACAGGCCTCCATGGTACAACATTTAAGTAGCAAGAAAATACTATTGAGCTGATAGAATATAATCTTACACGAGGGTATTGCGACGTTTTAACCTATGTCTCTCGGACCCGGCCTCCACGAAACAATGCCACTACTGTAAGATAATATTTTTTATTGCAATTTAAATCTTTTATAATAAATAGTGAGTGACACCAAAGTAGTTCTCCTGTAATATACTAAATCATGACTGATGATAAAAAATTATTTATTGGCCAACTGCATTATAAGTCAATGTCAAACATACATGGGATAATATAGTAAGTTTTTTTATATAGCATAGCCATTAAAAAACAGAAACATAAGAAATGCAAAAAAGGCTAGTTTAAAAAAAAAAAATTAAATTTATTACTTTTTGTTATATGCGTTTACTTTGTGACAAATCAATCCTACACTGGCCCTTACATCTAGTAGTAAAATTTTTTTTGTATTAAAATCATCTTTACACCATGATTTATTACACTTGCAAACAAAGACCGTGACTCATGTAAAATGCATACTGTGTCGGAGTGTTATTTTTANGAACCGAGAGGTTTGCGGCCCGAGCCGAAGGCGAGGGACGTAACGAGGTTCGTAAAGGAGACTTTTCGAACGAGTTCCGGAAAACTGCTTTTTCGCCCGAGGAAGTAACAGCCTCCCAAAACCACCCGAGGACGGAAAATTAAATTTGTGATGTCACAGGGGTTTATATCGAACAAAAGTAATCGATACTGGCGCTTTACCTGCGAGTACAGTACTGTTGCTAGTTTTGGTTGAACTGTGCTTAGGTGGCGAATCTAGATTTTGATAGAAAAATATACCAAGACTGCAGCAGAAGTTCAAAGTTAACGAAAATACGAAAAATAGAAAAAAAATAGTTAAGGAACCATTACATTAAATAATCCATCTAAAATATGTACTAACAATATTACTTTATTATTTGTTTAAGCTAATAAAAGATCCATAAATAAGTGCATGCATGCGTCACTTTACATCGTAAGCATTATTCATCACATTCACAGTTTGTTCATCTTATTTTATACAGTAGAGTAATCGTTAAATAACGTTTAGTTTACATCGATAGATTTCAGCTGATAACTGTAGTACTAATCAATTGAATTTACGACCTATTATTCATAACAATAAACATAAAATCTCGAGAAAAAAATATGTTGCCAGAAGCGTTTTTTTTATTTGCGACAACGATGATGACATTGATTTGAAATTGTATTATCACGTTCAGTTTCTACTTTTGTTCCGAATATTTACACTTATCTGAAACATAACTAAAAAAAAGGTAGTAAACAATGCTATACAAATATATTAATTACTATTTCAAATTTTCAGAAATATTATTAAATTTACTTTTTATATTTATAAATTAATTGCGTTCTATAAAAAAAATTAATTGAAAAAACAAAAAGACAAAAATCATCTTTATTGAAGTAAACAATAACACAATCAGTTTTTTGCTTTCATTTTGTACATCTAGTGTTCTACGCTAAATAAAATGACTTTTACTAAAATAAAAATGCCTAGACATTATTTCAATGCATAAATCTACCGATTAAACTAATTCAATAGATACATGTCAAAGCGGATTNTTATGATATTTATTTTACAAAACTGATCCTTTATAATAAGATCATTCCTGTATAAAGTAACTACGTTGAACTGTACAAAATAAAACTTTTGTAAATGACTACTATTTCATTTACTACATCGAATCCATTTTTTTCCTACATCAATTTCAGACCTCTTGAGTATCAAAAAGGATTTTTTATAGTTATAATTAAACCGAGTGAAACTGAACTCACTGAAAAAGTTGAGACTATTTTTTTTCTAACATATAGGGCTGGAACCAAAGAGGTAACGAATATAAATACGACAGCCTAATTATTTGTAACGATCAAAATGAAATAATGAATTAACCTATGTGTGTAGGATTTGTGAAAAAACAATTTTACTTTTAATTAAATAATCATCCATCAAAAATCCTGTCACATTCATCTGTTTTTTTCTTTTTTTGTGGCATGACTATTTTTGGTAAAAAACCAAAAGTAAATTACAAATTTTGTTGAAAAAGCATTCCACTAGCTAATTACCTAAATAGGTGCTAAAAAAATATAACAGATCAAACAATGTAAATAAGGAACGATATTTTGAAGTCAATTATAGCAATAAAATACTATGGGAATTCATTGACAGGTTAAGTTAGTAAAAGTTATTCTCATGGAATAAGAATGCGAACCCTATTAGATAAAATTTACCCACCCCTGCCGCCCCACGAACAAATTAATCGGGCATACAGGAATCTTCATCCTTATTATCGCGGTAGAATTTCAAGGGCACAGATAAACAACTTTAACGATTTTTTGCTGTTAGGCAAAAATGTTGAATTAACCCAGCAACAGGATAGAGAATACCGCCCACCCCCGCTACCCGAGAATAGTTTGTTCCCGGCAACATCTTTCATTCCCCGAAAACATACTACACCAAAGAAGATAACAGCAGTATACTAACCACCGTTTCATGGTCCCTGTGGTTTGTTTTTATCATGGCGAACCCTAACGCCTTTATTTTTGTGGACACCAATACCAGGTACACATTGAAGGTTCCGTCTGCAACACCCCAGTGTCAGTATCCATCGGAGTGGTTTGAGGCTCATCCAAATGAGAAACCTAATGTTCAGTACACTGCGAACACCCTGACTGATGATGAGGTTCTCGGTGTAGTCAAGTGGAGCATCATGCAGGGAGGACCGATCAATATCAATCTGGTAAAGAGGTACATCCACATTTACTTCAGAGACGTCACGGCTGTATTGCCCGACCGATGGGAGTCATACGGTAGAGTGATAGGAGAAGCCAACAGCAATGTGAATCCATGGTCACTGATTACTGTAACTCCAGTAGCAGGGATGCTCCCAGGAGTCGAGGCAAAACCACTGTCCATGGAGGATAGACACTGGGTTGCGTTATATTGTTTGTGCTCTGCTCGGTTAGCCAGAATAACCATCCAACAGTATGCGGACCGTGTAAGGGACAAGATCCACGAACAGATTAAGCTCCTCACCAATAGACTCCCAGTCTTCCCGGCCAAGGACAATTACGAACCATGGGCTGCAGACCCAGATTACATGAAATTGATAGCAGCCGTGGACATGTTCATGTATAGGTTTCCAACACATCCCTTGGCATATGTTCGGGTATGCACACTCGGGAGTCGTCATAAGGACTGTGCCGGTCTTCTATCAATAGGCTATTTCGCACACACCGTCAGTCTGGAGAATGACTCTGATTTCCTCGACTGCATGTGGTCGAAAAAGATGGCCACAGAATGCATCAACATGATGCATGAGACGGACCACATGATGCAGGAATACTCCTATTTTCCCTACCAATCAAACCTGGGTCTCATCAGATAGTCCTTTAACCTGAAGATGAAGGCTTCACAATTTATTTATCCACACGAAAGTAAATGAACGAGCAATAAACCTTTATTTTATGTAAATTTTAATATTATTTTTTAAGCGCACTGAGTAGCACGGTATCACGCAACGAATTTATGTCTAATTATTTTGATTGGAACAAACAGCGGCATACAACATTGGCTTCCTTACCTAGTGTAGCAAGGAATCTTTCTGTTCCCTTATGTTTGCCTACCTGTTTCTTTACTTTCCTGCCACTGCCAGTTAATACATTTTTTTTCTCCTCTCTTTCCCCGTTTTTTTGTTACCAGCCAAGGTATTGGCTAAGTTTGGGCACGGGGAGGTACCGAAGGGCAGGTAAGTGGAATTGTAAAGTGCGAATAGCACTAGAGCACTGACGGTGGGAGCAGGAAAGAGCCCTTACGGCTCTGTCCAATCAAAAAGGACGAAGTCATTTTTTTTTTTTTGAGTTATGGATTCGTAAAAGTAAAAAGAGTAAAGTTTTTATTAATTTAATTTTTGTAATACATCTACATGATGATATGAACAGATAATCCTGCCCCACCGGATAGGCACGTAGTTTTTTTGTCGATTATAATATCGCGCAATTTTCACTGCATTCTTAATTTCCTGTTTCAAAAAAGTTTTTTTTGTTGTTTGATTTATAATTTGGATGAGTTTATGCACTGTTATCTATTGATGCAGTCAGTTTCCTTTATTTGTTTTTATATCCGACAGCCAGGAATATATCGATACTGGTTTTCATAAACTACTTTTGAGTTCAATTGTAAGCACAGGCGAGTGCACCTGCACCATGCCATCCGACAGTAGGGAATGCTAATAACTAGTGTTTACACTGACACTACACACAATACCGTGACAGTACACCACTCGTTACACCAACAAGGCCGCTAATTTAGGCTGACCAGTATTTCCTGCTGAATCCTGAAGAAGTAGACGATCTGCTACACTATACGCAAACAAATACTCTACGTCATCCTACACATCCGTCCGGATAGGGCATTTAGCTAGATTCGAACGCACACCCTATAGAACATAAAAATCAGGGTGAAACCAGGGTTTGCGAAGGGGGATTTGTGACGTGACGAGTCACTGTCACAGTCAGAACACCGGTTTTGTGATAGCAGACAGGAGGAGAGGCGGTACAGTGCGCACTACCCCTACCATATCCCAACCCATACATAGGTATCCATCCCTACTATGGGCAACACGACCGATTCCCGACTGTGGGTAACACCGGGTGTGTGTGTGTGTGTAACAACGCAACACACACCTGTGTAAGTGGCTGAGGTGCGAGGGCAGCACGGATCAGCGGGCCGGGAGGAGAGACACTCTCACTCTTGTCTGCTTGCCGTAAAGTCGTATTCTCATCTACGTCGGTTGTGTTCTGCGTAAGCGAGCGAAGCGAGCTCCGTATCAGGCGACAACAGGAGACGTAGCCACGGCTACCTGTTGCTGACCCGACCGGTTGCAGGCGTATACACGCAGCTTCTGCTGGGACTCGTGCCATCCGAGTGCTGACGCCTGCCAGACGGATCTCCCAGTGCCCGTGGTCAAATTGCGGTGTACCTCGCCATAGGAGTGTTAACGGTAGGCCTGTTTTCCTTAATCCTGTCCCTACCGCGAAAGCACTGTGCCGAACAGCAACTGCCGGACCCACAGGGCCGAGTTGTTAGTTGATGGGTCTTGTCGGGTGGCTGGACGTGGACATTCTTTTGTACATCATACATAGTTATTGTCAGAATAAACACATTATCTCTATAAATAAACAGATGTATTTTCCTTAATCGTATGTGTGTGAATGCCAGCTATCCACCTCTCCTAACGGCCCTTAAGAATAATTGTAATAAATATTTTAGATTTTAATAAAAATTAGATGTGCCGTGTCTTGCTGCTGACGGTTAGGCGAGCAGGGCACGCACACCACATGACTAAGACAAAAAACATGGTTTTTTGAAATTTTTTTTTTTTAGTAACATGAAAATCAAATTGACATATGTAAATGTACCTATGCACATGTATTATGTATATTGCTAAGATGAAAAATGAATATCAGTTATTTTTTGTTTGTAACATGAAAATGAAACTTTCATTTTCGAAATTACCCGTATACATTTAAGTATGTATACTGCTGAGGTAGAAAATAAGCCCAAAATTCTTTTATTGATTTCTCATAAGTAAACACTAAAATGAAATAAACCTTTTTCAAAAGGTTTTTTTTATTTTGAAACACATTATAAGTATCATTTTTGTCCAAATAACAAATGGCATAAATTTTTTTTGTCACATGAAGGTTAAATTTACAGTTTAAAATTAAGTTTGTACGTGTAATTATGTATATTGCTGGGGTTAAAAAATGAGCATAAAATTTTTTTTATATTTCTTCTGAAGTAAACACTAACATAGAATGAACCTTTTTCGAATAATATTTTAGATTTAAATAAACATATGTTTTTGCGTTGGTGGAACATTGAAGGACATAATAATTATTTTTCAAATAACATAACAATTAAATTTAAATTCTGAAAATTTCTTAAGTGCATGTCCATACTCATGTAATAGAATAGAAAATAAGCTCAAAAACAGTGTTCTAAGTTCCCTCGTAACTATGAAAAAAAAAAAAAATTGATATTTTCCAAAAATTTATTAAATAAAAAAACAAATGTATTTGCGTTGATGGTAAAAAGACAAAATAATTTTTTTTTTAAGTAACAACAATTCATTGTAAATTTTTTAAATTACTTATATACATATATTGACGTATATGGTAGAGACAGAAAATGAAAATTAATTTTTATTTTCAGTAACAGTTTAATAAAATTGAGATTTTCATAATTACTTACAAACATGCGCTTACGTAAGTTCTGAGGTAGAAAATAAACTGAAAAATGGTTTTCTTTTTTTGTTTTCAAGTATTC